AGTAGGGGAGGAGGGATGTGGACTCCCGGTCCAAGCCAGGACCTCCAGCAGGAGAGGAGCTGCTTCAGAGGGCAGTGACTGGGGAGTATTTTGGTGGGGAGCAACATGTTCTTGTTTGTGTCTAGAAAGGCCAGCTGGCTGCTGCATCCCTCCCCTCACCTCCATCCCCACCCTTACTGCCATTTCCACCCTCACCTCCATCCCCCATTCCCCTCCATCCTTACCCTCATCTCTCTCCGTCCCCTCACCTCCATCTCTCCTCTCCCCTCCACCCCTCCCCTCCCTTCCATCCCTCCCTTCCTTCACCTCATCCCCACCCTCACATCCATCCCCGCCCTCACCTCCATCCCCCCTTACCTCCATCTTTCCCCTCACCTCCATCCCTCCTCTCACCTCCATCCCTCCTCTCACCTCCATCCCCCATTCCCCTCCATCCTTACCCTCATCTCTCTCCGTCCCCTCACCTCCATCTCTCCTCTCCCCTCCACCCCTCCCCTCCCTTCCATCCCTCCCTTCCTTCACCTCATCCCCACCCTCACATCCATCCCCGCCCTCACCTCCATCTCTCCTCTCCCCTCCACCCCTCCCCTCCCTTCCATCCCTCTCCTCCCTCCATCACTCCCCTCACCTCCATCCCCCCTCCATCCCTCCCCTCACCTCCATCCCCACCCACACCTTCATCCTTCCCCTCACCTCCATCCCTCCCATCTCCTCCATCCCTGCTTTTACCTCTGCCTCCATCCAGCAGCCAGTTGGCCATCTGCACAGCCAGGCCTCTTGGTCCCACCTTCTTGGTCCTGATTCCCCCAGCCCCAAGGCCCCCGGGGGTTCCAGTGCTAACAGATAAGTAGATCTGAAGTCATCTTGGCGATGTGGGGAGGAGGAGGAGGGAGGACAAAGATACATAAGAAGTGTTTTCCCCACATCACATTTTTATGCCTTACATTTGATTTCCTCGGAATCACATTTTTATTCCTAAAAAACTCCACTTTTATTCCTTTGATACAAAATAACAGCTAATAACAGCTTTAAATTCTCAGGCGTGTGTTTATAAGTTGGTTTAATGAGGGACAATTTACCAAGCAATGAGGTCGGGTTGAGAATGGGAGCTGGAAGCATCTCCTCTGAGGGGCGAGGGGAGGGAATGTGCACCAGGCCCTGCAGGGATGGGGAGGAACCAACAGCTTCCTCCTTCCCACCCTCTGATCTCCTGCCAGGGACCCCATGGATCGCAACTAGAGGTCAGAGGCTTGGGAGCTGGGAGCTGGGAGGATGCAGAGTAGGGGAGGAGGGATGTGGACTCCCGGTCCAAGCCAGGACCTCCAGCAGGAGAGGAGCTGCTTCAGAGGGCAGTGACTGGGGAGTATTTTGGTCGGGAGCAACATGTTCTTGTTTGTGTCTAGAAAGGCCAGCTGACTGCTGTGGACTTTAAGTTTGTGGTGACGGGAACAACTACAAGACAGTTGGGAGGTTGGGGAATATGGTCATTTGGGAGACGTGGGGGTGTCCCAGTTGGGTACGGAGAGGGTGGGCAGGCAGGAGAGAGAAGAAGGAAGTGGACCAGGGGTGCTCGATGGTCTGGGAGCATGAAGGAGAAGCCATCCACCCCGACTCAAATGACGAGGAGTTTGCTGCTTGAGGGAACCCGGGGGCTGGCCGTGCAGCACAAGGAGCAGAGACTGGCAGCAGCTTTTATCCTAAGGTGGATCTTTCTGCCTTTCTGGGCAGCCTCCCAAGTCTCTGCTCCAGGTGACCAGCTTCTCTCGAGGGCCCACGGCCAGCATGACAGGACACAGCTACCAGCCTTTGCTGCACCCCAGATGCTTGACTCCAGGGACCTCCACAACAGCAGCTCTGTGTCTAATGCTCGAGCTCAGTTCCAAGGAGTCTGGTTGGGGTCACCTTTCTGAGCTGGGCTCCCAAGTCACAGCTGACACACCAACTTATGGGTTTGTGTCCTTGGTTCAGGTATCTGCTGTAATCGGCTATGCCCAGGGGTGTGGGATGGGTTAAGAATGACAAACCTCCAGGATGGCAGTGAGCTGTCCTAGTGGAGGTCCTCACCTTGATCACCCAGCCGCTAGCTAACTCACCAACCGACCACAGATGCAGGAGAGCAGCTGAGACCAGCAGAAGAATGGCCCAGCTGAGCACAGCCAGAGCTCTTGACCAAGAGAATGATGACAAATGCAATGGCTGTTGCTGTAAGCCACTAGTTTTGGGGATGTTTATTATGCAGCAAAAGCTGACTGAAACAGAAATTGGAATCCAGAACTGGGGTGCTGTTGTACAAAAACCTAAACCATGTGCCGTAGGTTTGGGACCAAACAGTGGGCAGAAAATGGAGAAGTGGCAAGGAAACTATTAGCAAGGGCTGAGAAAGTGGAAAACTGTTCGTGGAGTCTGGAAAGGTATAAAAAATGCTGCAGCTTCTGGAAAAATGGTGTTACATGGTAGCCCAACATCTGGCAAATGTTATCTGCTGTAACTTATAAGACAGAAAATACACCTGACAAACTTGAGGGATCTCATCAAGAAGATTTCTCAGTAGAATGTTGAAACTGACAGGTAGTTTCATTTCACTGTGTGAGATCCAGAGAGAAAGAGAGAGAGAGGTGAGCTGAAATGAGAACCACCCAGTTTGCAAGAGGAATCTAGAGGAAGCAGAGAGGAGGCTGGGTTGCTGGACTGGAATAAAACTGTTTTCAAGAAGTGGTCACGGGGTAAAGATCAAATCAAATGTGTAGCTTAAGTCCTTTGTTAAAACCTCAGAAAGACTTCAGGCAGTGGCCAGAAGAGCCTCCCAGGGAAATAAACAAACTTCTAAGAATCTTAAGAGTGTTGTCCCATAGCACCCTCATATCATGCCCAAGTCAAAGAGAGGACTGTCTAGAAAAGATCTGTGGGCATGACGCTGTTGGGTGAAGAGGACTTGCCTCATATTCATAAGTAATTCACAGAGTTTTAAAGGGAATTGTACTGGTGAAAGCCCCACAGTGCAAACTGAGACAGTTCAAGTTGCACACCGGCTTCTGGGTGCCTAAATTTCATTGTGGAAGAACCAGAGTGAGAAAAGCGAATCAGTTGCCCATGGGGGCCCTTCCTTATGGAAATAAAGGACTCCTGTGAGAGCAGAGCTCAGAGAACAGTGGACTGCAGCCCTGTCCTACTTATAAATCACATGTCTTGTTTTTCCCATTCCCTTGTCTCCCCTTCTCCATTCTCTCACTTGTGCTTCCTGGGATCATCCTCAAATACATTTCTCCCATTCCAGGCCTCATCTTAGGGTCTAATTTTGGAAAAACCAACTTATGACTCTAGGCAACCCATTTTGTCTCTGACTATTTATTATTTATTTGAGACAGAGTCTTGCTCTGTTGCCCAGACTGGAGTGCAGTGGCATGATCTCCGCTCACTGCAACCTCCGCCTCCTGGGTTCAAGCAATTTCCATCTAATTTTTGTATTGTTAGTAGAAACAGGGTTTCACAGTATTGGCCAGGCTCGTCTCAAACTCCTGACCTTAAGTGATCCGTCCACTTGGCCTCCCAAAGCGCTAGGATTACAATTGTCCCTGCCTTTAGTGGAAAATTATCTAGTGTTTTCCATTAAACATGATGGCGGAGTTTGGACAGAGATAGACATAAAGTATCCAACTCTTCTTTTTATCCAGGTTTTTGTTTTGTTCTGCTTTGAAGGATTGGTTGTTGAATTTTGTCAAATCCCATCTTCTGAACATCACAACTTGTCTGTTCTTGATCGACAGTTATCAATAAGGCAGCTGTGAACATTCTCATGCCTGTCTCCCAGTAAACATGTGCACACATGTCTTTTGGGTATATACACAGGAGTATATATTATATATAGGAGTATATATAGGAGTAGAATTACAGGATCATAGAATGGGCATTTCCTCACTGTTGTTAGAAGACACTGCCAGTTTTCCAGAGATTGTGCCATTCACGCCCCTCCAGCTGGGCATGGGAGTCCAAGCTGTCCTATGTTGTTGCCAAGGCTTATTATTGTCAGTCTTTTTATTTTCAGCTGGTCTGATGAATGTGAAGTGTTATTTCATTATAGCTTTAATTTTCACTTCTGCGATTACCAAAGAATTTAAGCATTTTTTAATGTGGTTGTTTCTCATTTAAATATATTCTTAAAAAAACAAACGAACAACAACAACAACAAAAACGAAGAGAACACGAAACATACTTTATTAACACAAAAAAGCAGCTGTAACAAGGCACAGCAAGAAGAAACATACATTCGCACTCCAAGGGTTAGTGCTGCACACAAATATAGCTTTTCTGGCCGGGCCCAGTGGCTCACGCCTGTAATCCCAGCACTTTGGGAGGCCGAGGCAGGCGGATCACAAGGTCAGGAGTTCGAGACCAGCCTGACCGACATGGTGAAACCCTGTCTCTACTAAAAACACAAAACTTAGCTGGACATGGTGACGTGTGCCTATAATCCCAGCAACTCAGGAGGCTGAGGCAGGGGAATTGCTTGAACCCAAGAGGTGAAGGTTGCAGTGAGCCGAGATCACACCACTGCATTCCAGCCTGGGTGACAGAGCGAGACTCCATCTCAAATATATATGTACACACACATATATATGCATATATGTATATATATGTACACACACATATGCGTGTGTGTGTGTGTGTGTGTATATGCGTGTATATAGATCTTTTCTTCCCTATAACCTTGGTGATAGCCATGGGGGTGTAAAATAACATTTTGCAGAAGCACGGAAGGAAACTAGGAAGCAGTCTGCAGTGGCACAGAGCATGTTAACAAAAAGATACAAGGACGGATTGGGCTGCTTTAGTGCAAAATGTCTAGGACAGAACTGTACATTCAGTTCAGATTCTTTTTTTTTTGAGACGGAGTCTCGCTCTGGCTCCAGTCTCTCAGGCTGGAGTGCAGTGGCGCGATCTCCGCTCACTGCAAGCTCGTCGCCTCCCAGGTTCACGCCATTCTCCTGCCTCAGCCTCCCGAGAAGCTGGGACTACAGGCGCCTGCCACCATGCCCGGCTAAATTTTTGTATTTTTAGTAGAGACGGGGTTTCACTGTGTTCGCCAGGATGGTCTCGATCTCCTGACCTCGTGATCCACCCACCTCGGCCTCCCAAAGTGCTGGGATTACAGGCGTGAGCCACCGCGCCCAGCCTTCAGTTCAGATTCTAAGAAGTAGACACTAGAACCTGATGCAAGTTCCAAAAGAGCCCACTGAAATAGTATTACATAGTATCCCAAGTGACAAAAAGTTGCTAAATAAAGTCCTATTACACAGTATTCCAAGTGACAGAAAGTTGCTAAGTCACTTGCAGATACAATGGTTGTACAGCACCTTTTAAATTTGTAATTTAGGTTTCAGATTTTCCATTAAGGATGAACTGCCCTGAAATTCTATACATTATACTTAAGCAGTTCAGCTACCAGAGTTTACAACAAAGAGGTAACTACTGTTATCTAACCTATTAATTACAGTTTAACCATAAACTCAACATCAGCAACCATTGCAATTATTATTGTCTGACTTGATGGGGCATCTTCTAGACTCAGGTTCATGGGCATAGGGAAAGATCCAACTTTCAAGAAACAATGATTAGACTGCACATAAACTTTAAAAAATTACATTCCAGACTATATTGCAGAGGCCGGGCACAGTGGCTCATGCTTGTAATCCCAGCACTTTGGGAGGCTGAGTCACTGAGGTCAGGGGTTCGAGACCCCCCTGGCCAACATGGTGAAACCCCATTTCTACTAAAAGGACAAAAATTAGCCCAGTGTGGTGGCAGGCGCCTGTAATCCCAGGTACTTGGGAGGCTGAGGCACAAAGATTGCTTGAACCTGGAAGGTGAAGGTTGCAGTGAGCTGAGATCATGCTACTGCACTCCAGCCTGGGTGACAGAACGAGATTCCATCTCAAAAAAAAAAAAAAAGAAAGAAAGAAGAAAAAAGACTATATCGCAGAAGCAATTCCACATACCTGTTTTAAGTTAAAACATTAAATCATTAGAAATATTAATACCTAGGGCCTTTAGATGAAATTCTACTACTAACTTTCTAAGTCTGAAATTTTAAGAATGACTATTTAGAAAACCTGGTTTACCTAACAGTACCTTTTGGAGAAGAGAAAAAGAATCTGACTATAAAATACATCAACACTTAAGTGAACTGCACTATGCCCTTGTGGCCAGAAAATTGCATTTCTTTTCCTAAAAGGAAGGCAATCTTTCTTTTTTTTGACTTCTAAAGCTTGACTTCAACATCACTACTTTTGGAAGATGATAGAAAACCTCTTCGAAAAAATAATTTTAGACATTAGTCACATGGTTGCAATACTCATCCAATATTAATTATTTGTTCTTCAGTAAGAAATTGAATTCTTCAGAGCAGGTGTGCCTGAGCTGCCTCACTCAATGACTACAGCCATTACAAACCAAACTGTTAGCTACATTGGCCACATGTTTTTGTCGGCTTACTGAACACCTGGAGCGGTGCCTCCTGTTGCTCCACCAGGCACCAGGTTCATCTGGATAAATAACAGCAGGTCGCATCTAACAGATACCAGCACTAAGGTTGAAGATGGCACGAAAAAACCGAGCAGTGATGTGTATGCTTGCTCTGGGACACTGTCTGATGCACACAAAAGCGAACTGAGTTAACATGCTTTTGGGACAGGAGAGTTTGCTTTGCCCTGACTGGTTCTCTTTCTAATTAGCAAATCCCGACTTTTTGTTTATAATGATACCCTTTTTTTTTCTTTTTTCTCAAGATGGAGTCTTGCTCTGTGCTCTGTGACCCAGGCTGGAGTGCAGTGGTACGATCTCAGCTCACTGCAACGTCTGCCTCCAAGGTTCAAGCAATTCTCCTGCCTCAGCCTCCTGAGTAGCTGGGATTACAGGTGCGTGCCACCACGCCCAGCTAATTTTCTGTATTTTTAGTAGAGGGGGGTGGGTTTCACCATGTTAGTCAGACGGGTCTCGAACTCCTGACCACGTGGTCTGCCCGCCTTGGCCTCCCAAAGTGCTGGGATTACAGGCGTGAGCCACCGCACCTGCCCTATAATGATAGTCCTTTAAAAAATTCTGCCACGTTGATGGTGAAGGGAGCCCATCGATTGCATCATAGGCAGTGCACCTGCAGACTGCTACAGGCAGATGCCACAGGCTGAAAGGAAGGGTCCTATTTAGAGATACAGTAAGCAGTGGTTCAAAAAACATGAATGAAGCTGAACGCGGTTGCTCACGCCTGTCATCCCAGCACTTTGAGAGGCTAAGGCGGGCGGATCGCCTGAGGTCAGGAGCTCGAGACTAGCCTGGACAACATGGTGAAACCCGTTTCTACTAAAAAAAAAAAAAAAAAAAAAAAATTACCTGGGCGTGATAGCACACGCCTGTAGTCCCAGCTAGGCGGGAGGCTGAGGCAGGAGAATCGCTTGAACCTGGGAGGCGGAGGTTGCAGTGAGCAGAGATCACGCTATTGCACTCCAGCCTGAGTAACAGAGTCTCACTCTGTCACAAACGAACAAACAAACACAAACATGCAGGAACTGGGATTTTGATCACGTTCTAAACGATCTGTTACAGGAGGCTGAGGTTGCCGTGAACCAAGATCGCGCCACCGCACTCCAGCCTAGGTGACAGAGGGAGACTCCCTCTCAAAAACAAAAACAATAACAAAAAGAAACAACAACAACAAAAATACATAAAAATAAAAGACCTGTTACAGCGGAGGAGTGAAGTACACATGGGCCATGGCCATCAAGACACAAGCTGCGATTCCACCGCTCAATCTGCGCATTCCAGAGCCGTTGCAGCGGCGGTTAGGATTTTTGTGTTAGTGTTGCTGTTATTGTAAATTACATTTAGTCCTTCTTTTCTTTACAGGATATGTACTACTAGGAAACCGTGAGCAATGATAAAATTAGCATATTTGTTCCTCCTCTCCTTTAACATCTAATTTTAGTTCCTTTTTTCTCCTGTGTCCTGATAGACCAGTGACTGTTTTCAACCTTTTCAAGTAACTTTCTTAGGTGTAGTTCTCGTGTACAACAGAGTCAGATTTTGCTTTTTGATATAACCTGAAAATCAGTTTCTTTTAATAGATGGGTTAAGCACATATTACAGTTTTTGGCTTTCTTTTTTATTTTAAAATATGTGGCCGGGCGCGGTGGCTCACGCCTGTAATCCCAGCACTTTGGTAGGCCAAGGCGGGCAGATCACAAGGTCAGGAGATCGAGACCATGGTGAAACCCCGT